TCCGAATAGCTCGTATACTATTAATAAGTCTAATATTATATATTAAGGTTAAAGGGTTAAAGGCTTATTACTAGTTTCGGGTTAATACTATATAAACGAGGACGCTTAAATAAGATAATAGGCTTCTAATTATCGAGATAGTCTTTCCTTAATAGATATTAAGCTATTATTACGATCCTAGCCGCTTAAATTAATAGGTTATTAATAGTATTTATTTATAATATTTTAATTATATAATTAATTATAAAAGGGTATATTTCTTAGAATAATAGTTCTAATTCTAGGTTCTTCCTCGATTATAGGTCTTATTATTAATTTTTCTAATATCGTTAACCTTAAGTTCTATTATTCGATTAAAGATAAAAGTTATAATCTCCTTAATTTCTTAATAATTTCGCCTATTAGGGTATTCGTATTTCGGTAATTATAGCTCTTAGTTAGTATTTTAGGGGTTTCCGGGTCCCCTCCCTTAATAATTACTTTTTCGTATACTTTCCGCTAATTATCTATAACTTAAGGAAAACGTTCTAACTTAAATATCTACTATATCGGGACCTTTATAAAATTATTCCTAAATATTCGTTATTCTACTTAAATATAGGCCGTTTTTAAGGATAATATAAGATTCTATTATAAAATCTTATCGAATTCTAGACTAAGTTCCTTTTCTTCTATTATTAATAAGGCCTCTCTAAGGTAGGACTTTTACTTATTAATAATAAATAGCTAGAATATCTCTAAGTATTACTCTAGCATTTTAATAAGTAAGTAGATTATCGTAATTCTTAAAGAGAATTTTCTAATAAAAATTCTCTTTATTACCTAAAGTACTAACTATTCTCTTAGTAATATAATATATAATAGGTTTAGCTCGTTTAAATTAATTATTACTATTTAATATAATTATAATTATAGGGACCGATAATCTTAGATCTTAAATACTCGAATAATAGTATTATATTAAGATATCCCTCCCTATTATAAAAGGATATAAAGGTTCTCTATATATATTATAATCCCTAGTTATATAACTAGGATTTATAAAGGCTAATTATTATAGTTCCGTAATTACTATACCGTAATTATCTAATAGTAATCACGGGAAGGTAATCCCCGTCGATAATCACGGTCCCGTGATCACCGACTTGCAGTCACGTGACAGGATCCACCTAGTTGCCTGTCCACTATGCCCATAACAATAGATTTATTAATTAATATAATTACTCCTATTATTAAGAATAAATCGATCTCCTCTTAATTAAATTACTTAAATAGCTTCTTAGGGGTTATTATTCTACTTTTATTATATAATTTAATAGCTAGGTTATAACCCTATTATTCCCTCTTTATAATAAATTAATATTCGATCTATAAACCCTTAATTATATTATTCTTATAATCTATAGAAATTATCTATAATAGATTCTAAGTATATATTATAATTAATTTCCTAAGTCTTCTATATTAATATAGCTAAATTAGCTCTAGATATTTAAATAATTCTAAGGTCTCTAATATAAATACTTTCAGAGTTTAGATTATAATTATCTCCTTAGTTTCCTAATCTAATAATCTATTATATAGCTTAATATATATTCCTCTAAACTCTATTAAGCTATTAATTATATTAATTATAACTATTATATTTATTATTAATATAATTTTATAAAATAATCTATTTCTCCTATTTTTAGAATATAAGAATA